GGTTGGAGCCTTCCAATTGTGTCTCGGGCACAAACTCGCCTGTAGAATCAATGTCGTGTGCTTGAGATGGCTTTAATGGCTTGTATAGTATGGTTGGTAGGGTGGTGACGCAGAGTGTAATACGATTGTGAGGGTTGGAATGGGTTGGATGTGTGTGAGAAACGTGGTGAAGTAAGGTTGGTACGGTTGGACGCCAAATCTCGATGGTGGGGGGGGGGGGGTTCCCGTCGGGACCGGCGTTGCTGAGCCCCATCCTCTTTCCGCACCCAGTAGTCTTAAAAAACGGAGAAACCCCAACCCCTAAGCCACCCAGAGCCATCTGGGCATTCTTTTGAAAGATGGTAAATTTAGTTATTATCCTTTTATTTCTAAAGACTTTTACATGTGTCATAATATTTGTCCAATTTGATTCTAATATATTTTAAGAAATAATGTTGATCAAACATTAAGTCCAAAAAACGATCCAAGCAATTAAAAAAGAATGGAGGGAGTAATCCTTATACGGAGTTTGAACCTTCACATATTCGCACTTTATTGTCTCGAATGAGTCTACCGTAGCGGATTCCACTTCCCTAACTCGCTCGTCTTAAAACTATCTTCACATCATCATTCAACTAAGAAAGCACGTAATCGATGTTTGTATTCATTTCTTGATAAATTATTGACAATATAAGTTAATTTCATTCATGCTAAAAGCAACTAAGAAAGTATTCTATGGACAAAAAATTTCAATTCAATTGAACTAATGCCTAACTCTACATTACTTGGTCAACAAGGAACAAGCTAAGTTTATAAAATGAGCATGAACTTAAAGACCGTGAAAGAATTTGCCCTCTTTTTTTTTTTGGGGGGTAAAGATTAAGTTGCAAACTTCACTTGGTGAAGATTATTCCAGCACAATGGTAACCATTTTTCGATTGCATCCTCAAAAAGGATTTAAATACAGGGTCCTTTTTATGTTTTACTTCTTCAATAGGAACCAACTTACACTCACTATATGAACACATTATGCTCTCATCAATGCTCAGTCTCTTGTGCAACACCTGCAATTCATCAAGAAGGGGAAAAAATAGTGTGAAAAGCGCGGTGGTGAGTTCAATCCGTTGGTCTGTAAAGAAGGAAGTGCAAAGGAATAGAATACCTCAATGTTTCGGCGAGAAGAAGATATCAACGAAAGATTTGTTTTGCCTTTCCAATCACCCAACATGTTAGTGAAAAGAGATTCATCTCTTTTGGATGATATGATGACATTTGAGGGCTTTACCCTTTTTAAGAATTTATTGAGAGCAGAAAAGGGAACCGCGTGTAGTTTTTCATGCATAATGAAATCCCCCTGAAAAGATTAACTGATTATAAGTAAAGATACTAATGGTGTGTTTAGTTTTTCACGCATAATGAAATCCCTGTCCACACCCACCCTGCTATTTCGAACCATAGAAAGAATTCTATGGTTCACCCAGCCTCCTGCCCCTACGTCACCAAGTTGCCTGCTTTTATGTTGCTAGCCTTTAGAACATATTTTTAAATATCAAATTTGAAATCTTTACCATTAAAAATTGTTTTTTTGGAACAAAAAATTCTTTCTTACCAAACAATGGAAAATGTTGTGTGTGTGTAACGTGTGTGTGGGGGGGGGGGACATTTATTTGCCCTTGGAAAATATTTTTCTCAAAAAACATCGTCCTCCCAACCAAACACACCCTAAATATAAATTTTTATAATAATGATCTCAATAAACAATATGAACTTGTAAAAGGTAAGTTCGATACCAATGATATGTTTGGTGCAGAGGAATGGAAGGAGAGGGGAGGATATTATCAAGTCTAAACTCCATATTCTCCTTCCCCTCACATTGAGTGGTAGAAGCCCCCTTCCATTCCCTCCCACAACCTCATTCGTACCAAACGGACCCTAAGAACAATGAGAATAAAAGGAGATGAAGACTTGCCCCTTCATCATGTAGCCACTGGATAAGCAATTTCAAACCTTCATAATTTCGTAATTTCATAAGGAACCCCTTTACTCCACCCCTGCAAGCACTCTGAAAGTTCTCAACAGAAAGTGCCATGTGAAATTCTTCTAGCTTGGGAACATTCCAGGAACAGAACCAGAGATTCGAACTACACTCCCACGAAGAAATGAACTCTAGGCTTCGTAAATTTGGGGTGTCAATTTCAGCACCAGGAAAAATACTGATACCTTCAATGATTAGTCGCTTGAGGCGTGAACTTGAGATCTGAAATTTGTCGAGCCCTCGGTAGCAAAGAAGTTTAAATTCTTCAATATAGCAAAGTTTAGACAAAAAATTTTGAATATGAACAAAATCAGCAGAATCAATATCTCCACCCAATCCCAAACGTTTTAGACGAGTGCAACAAGCAAAGTCAATGGAACACGGTTTTATTCCAAAACAATATAATGTTTCAAGACTTGGTGTAAAGATTCTAATTCTATTGGGCTCTAAATTACACACAATCTTAAAAGATTTCAATCTAGATTTACTAGGAATGGACAGAAAACTTCCCAAACCCATACAATCTGAAACTTCCAGAAACTCGATCTTAGGACAGCCGCATATGATCCTAGACAACCCATCCTCGTTGGCAAATCGGCAACTACATATCTTGAACTTCTGGAGATGTGCAAGATCAAAGTTGGCAATCCGATCCCCTAAGGTACACCCTACAAGCTCCAAAACCTTTAGTGAATGAGAAAGAACTACTTCTGCGGGGACAGAATACCAGACCATGGATTTATAACATCGAACCTTAATCACTAGCTCAGAAACATTCCTCTCAATGGCTGCGCTGAACATATGGCCCAAAATGGGGGAATATCTTTCTAGGTCAGAGACAGAGATGTTTATATGCATTTTGTGTACGCATGCTTTTCGAAACAAACATTGATGAAAGAACATTAAAACATGATCTAAGAAAGGGCGTCCTAGAGGATGCGTAAGCTTGTAGACCGCCTCGTGCAATACCAAATTGATGTTAGGGTAATTCAACCAAATGCGATTCCAAGCCTTTGACAACACAGATGTACGACCAATATGTTTGAAGGGAAGAAACGACAGTATATGATGAATCACAGATTCGGGCAGAACAGAAAAGAATTCCAGCGATTTGTCGTGATATCTTGCCATCTTATTCCGGGTTTCATCTGTTAGAAAAAAAAAGAAGAAGATTAACTGACGAATTCGCAGAAGCGATCGCACAGAAAAACGAACATAAAAATTGAGGATGAAGATAAACAGTACATGTAACCATTTGGAAATAAGCTTGAACGAGCTAACATAAACTCTAGGTCAGCAAAGCATAGGAGACACTGTATTGATCATCTTCACCTATTCTGCAGAGCTGAGTAGAGATGAGAATTTGGGGAAAATTTTAGGGATTTTGACGAAGAGAGGTATTTTGACGGGTGAAAACCCGACCGCTATAAACCGATTTTTCCTGCGGCTGGCAATTAGGTATTTCTCCAAAAACAGATTTTAAATTATATATTTAAAAATTATTTGAATATATCAAAAGACGTATAAAATTAGAGGTGACGTGAGTTGTTACTATACTATTTAGCTAGATAGGCATATTAAAATAAGCAAAAAAAGTAAATAAAGGTTGATCAAACAATATTTGACTAAAATATTTTTTGTTTAATTGTATCTAAACATTTATGTAAAATTAATAAAATAAAAATTTTATATTTAAAAATTACTTAAAAAATTCTACAAAATAAGAACTGAGTGACTATATTATTTTCACTAATGATAAAATACATGAAGAAAATAATTTTTTATTCATCCTATGAATAGTTCATGAGACAAAAAACCGAGACAGATAGAGTATTACTTTCATTTCCAAATAATCCAAAAAAGTTAGTGAGGAAATTACGATCTAAAATTTTAAAAAAAAACTAATTCATATTTTTAAATTAATACTCCGTATAAAAATAATAATTAAAACTTATGTATTTAAAATCAACTTTAAAAGTTATTATACAAAATCATATCCTATATATATATATATATATATATATATATATATATATATATATATATATTTTGGTTCTGGTGAGAATGCAATCTTAGGAGAGAAATGAGAATGAATCTGGTGCTTTAAATTGCGAGATCTAAGGGTCAAGATTTCATCAAAATTAGATGCACCAAAATGGTGCGAAAATGCATCACGTCGAAATGCACCATAAACCTTCGAAAATGCAGTATCTCAAAATCTGAGCGCATGATGCAATCTGAGCCGCACGATGCATCAGATCCGACGGCTAGATTTTATTCTCATTTCTCTCCACAAGGTGCATTCTCACGGGAACCGGCCCCTATATATATATATATATATATATATATAGGATATGATTTTGTATAATAACTTTTAATTTAATAGCTTAAAGTTAAGGAGCAAAATAGGAATAAAACATTGATAGATTCATATTATAAATATGAAATTAAATACATTTCACAAATTTTCTTTAAAAAAACCTGAATTAGCTAAAAACCCATGCCATCTATGTCACTGCCGCCGCCCCTGCCACTGTACCGCCAAAAAAAACTAAATTAGCCAAAAAAACACTTGCTCATACTTAAGAATAAGACTAAATTCTACTCCCTCCGTCCTAATTCTTTCTTCCTTGTTTGACTTTTCCCCATTTTAAATTTTTGGCTTTGACTTTAAATTTTACCCTCCTTAAAAAAGATTTTTTGAATTTTTTTTTGCAATCATTCAAAATATAGAGTTAGAAGATAATTGGTGTAAATACATGAGGGTATTAATGTCATTTGTCATCTTTTTTTTCTAATGGGAAGGTAGTTTTAAGACGGGAAAAAGGGGAAGTGGGAAGAAAGTTTTAGGACAGGGGGAGTATAATAAGTCTTTTCTAGAAAAGAATTTCGATATAGAATCGTTTATTATCAAATATTACGTCTCTAGTTCTTCTTTTATGGTACTTTTTTACGGATTGTTATTTTTTAAAATTCTATCATATTGATGTTAAATTTAAGACTAAAAGTTTAATTTCACAATGATACGGAGTAATATATTAAACTTGAGACACTCCTACTATGGTGTTAAATTGACGCATCAATCGCAAGTGGCAATGGAGAAAGACGAGTAGGTCGAGGAGCAAGAAGAAGACGGCGACAGAATTAGTAGACGGCAAAGGAGGAAGGTGATGATGGAGGATGAAGAAGAAGGCGGTTTTATCTCCACCCAATTTTAAACGTTTCAGACCAGTGCAACAAGTAAAGTCAATGGAGCACGGTTTTATTCCAAAACAATATAATGTTTCAAGACTTGGTGCAGAGATTTCAATCCTCTCGGGCTCTCCATCACACCCAATTCTAAAGTATTTCAATCTTGATTTACTTGGAATGGAGAGAAAACTTTCCAAACCCTCGCATTGTTCCACTTCCAGAAACTCCATCTCTGGGCAGCCGGCAGCCACTTATAATCCGAGACAACACATTCTCGCCCGCAAACTGGCAAGTTTGAATCTTGAACTTCTGCAGATGTGAAAGATCAACATTGGCAATCCGATCCCCTATTGTACACCCCTCAAGCTCTAAAACCTTTAGTGAATCAGAAACAAATACTTCTGCAGGAAGAGAATACCATGCCCTGGGTTTATAAGGTAGAACCTTAATCACTAGCTCAGAAACATTCCTCTCCATGGCTGCCCCAAAGCATTGGTCCATAATGGGGGAATACATCTTCAGGTTAAAGACAGAGATGTGTATATGCATTTTATGTATGCATGCTTTTCGAAACAGGCATTGATCAAAAAAATTTTGAACATGATCTAAGAAAGGGCGTCCTCGAGGACGTGTACCCATGTAAAGCTCCTGATGCAATTCGAAATCGATGTTGGGGTAATTTGACCAAATGCAATTCCAGACCTTCGACAACACAGAAGTACGGGCAATATGTTTGAAAGGAAGAAATGACAATATGTGATGAATAACAGAATCAGGAAGAATTGAAAAAAAAATCCAACAAACTGTCGTCATATCTTGCGATCTTGATTCCAATTTTATCTGCTAGACAAACGATTAACATACGAATCAGAAGCAATTTACAGAAAGCAGACTAGCTATCACACGGAAAAACAAACATAAATTAAGAACAACGATAAACAGTACCTCAATCCATCTGGAAATAAGCCTAAGCAAGCAAATATATACTATCGGTCAGCATATGAGACACTACATTGATGGTCATCTTCAGCTGATTTTGTAGCATAAAATCGATCAGGCAGAGCAAAGGGAAAGTTTAGGGCTTTCGACTCGTGAAAAGAAGACAATGGGAATTTGGGGAGTCTGATGACCCTAGAGTCGTAGGGTTTATCTGCACTTACACTTTCTATTTGCTTTGGTAATAGATAGAGGTCTATGGTGCATGCTTTTTGTTGATGATACTATGTTGATAGAGTGGTTCTTTGTTGCACCTAACATCTACAAAAATTTTGTGGATCTTCTCAAATAAAATTAGATTTTTAATTTTTTTTAAATAAAAATAAAATGTTTATCTCAACATTAAGCAAATGCTTATCAACCTCATCTGTAGGTACACCATGGACCTTAGATCCACGGTAGAATTTGCCTAACTGATAAAACATGGGATGAACTTAATGGTAAGAGTTGTGGCGCTTTTCCTTGAAATTGAAAGATTTCAAGTGAAGTAGAACTAAAACTGAATGCATGGAATGTTGTTTCAGGTGGAGCAATCGACATAGACATGAAGGTTCGGATTGATTCTCATCCAGTGCCTAAGAGAGACAAATTTCATTTTTTGGACTTGATCGTCCAGGCTGATGGGGAGATAGAAGCTTATGTTGCTCATCGTAAGCTGTTTGGGCCAAGCGGAAGATGACTTCAGGGGCACTCTCTAACAAGAAATTTCGGCAAGGAAGAAAAGGAAGTTCTACCGGTCCGTAGTGAGACCAGCCATGCTACACAGAGTAGAGTACTGGGCACTTAATATTCACCAGCTACATGTTGCGGAGATGCGGATGCTACGTTGGATGTATGAGAAGACGAGCTTAGATAGGAATCGGAACGACATTATTGACGAACGGTTGGGAGTGGCTTCTGTGGAGAGTATGCTGCGGGAAATTAGGTTGAGGTAGTTTGGGCATGTGAAACGGCGTGGTGTTGACTGTTGACGCTCCAGTGCGGAGATGTGAGAGGCTTTCAGTGGTGGGCGGAAACGTGGGAAGATGTATACTTAAGAGAACTTGGAAAGACGTGGTTAGCCAAGACCCTAGACTTTTGGCCCGTACCGAGGATATGACCTTAGATAACAGTGTTTGGAGAGATAAAATTAGAATAGTTTGGTAGTATTGTAACACCCCGAAAATAGGCATATCAGAACTAATTAATTGATAATTAATTAATATACAATTAAAAAGTAAAAAGTTTCAACTTCTGCAAACGTGGTAGATCAATTTAGGGAACCCTACCCTCAAACCTACACCCCTCAAGCTCTAAAACCTTTAGCGGGTGGGAAAAGAATATGTCCTCCGGAAGAGAATACCGAGCCCCGTCCTTACAACATTTAACCTCAATCACTAGCTCCGAAACATTCCTTTGAATGGCTGCCCCCAACCACTGATCCATAATAAGGGAATTCTTCTCCGGGGAAAGGGTGGAGAAACATATATGCATTTTGTGTATGCAAAACTTTTCGAAACATACATTGATCCAAGATCATTTGAGCATGAACTATGAATGGGCGTTGTAATTCGACCAAATGCTATTCCAGGACTTTGAGAACACCGATGTGCGGGCAATAACTTTGAATGGAACAAATGACAATAATATGTGGTGAATAACAGATTCGGGCAATATTGGGAAAAAAAATCCAATGATTTGTGTTTAAATCTTGCCATCTTATTCCCAGTTTCATCTCTTAGACGAACGATTAAATGAAGAATCAGGAGCGATTTGCAGGAACAGACTTAGGAGATCACACAGAAAAACAAACATAGACTAAGGATGCCGATGAACAGTACCTGGATCCATCTGGAAATTAAAGAAGGCTAATCAAGCTCTCATATACTCTCGGTTAGCATAGGAGACACTGTATTCATCATCTTCAGCTGAATTTGTAGCATAAATCGATCGAGCAGAGTATAGATGAGAACTTGGGGAAAGTTTAGGGCTTTTGACAGACTTACCATTATCCTAACTTTGTACAGATCCCAAAAAAAACATGAGCTTCCATCTCAGAGGCGCCTACAGATCCGACAGGACGGTCCATCTCCGATCTCTGAGGTCTCTACAGTTTGGCTTCTCTTGTGCCTAAGGCTGTTCATCTGTCCAATACTAACTGAATGGGACCGACCCGAACAGGTCCGAGGAAATATATTTAGACTGGATCTAAATCTATTCGGGTTTGGACTGAACCAGAAGAGGTCCCATTCTTTTAAAATGCAAAATTTTAAATTATTTTGTTCAATTGAATATATTTCAGGCTTTTTATATTGTACCGTGCAAATAAAAAAAAATAAGAAAAATAAAAAACCTAAAAATAGATACACACAATATGAACTACTTTTATGTGGTATCATAAAAACTAATGTGAAACATTTTTTTTACCTAATAAAAAGACTTTTTAATTAAATTATTTAAGATATCTATTAAAATAGAGCATCAAAGTGTAATAATACATAACTTAAAAAGTAGAGTTTTAGTATTTAGGTTTTTTAAGTCTAGAAAGGTTATTAGATCAATTCGGTTCAGACCTAAATCATTTCGGGTTTGGACCGGACCGGACCAAAACACGAACACCTAAATTTTCTGAATCGAAGATTGACCTGAAATCCATTTGGTCCGGGTTCGGTCCAGTTCAATCGTTTTTTGGTCATAACCCAAACTTGAATAGCCCTACTCGTGCGTACCTTGAAAACTTCGAAGTGGTCACCCATCCTAAAATTACTTTAAGTCAAGCATGCTTAACCTTAGATTTTCTAATAAGTTAATGGGATCTCGAAAAAATCTGAATCTTGTTGGTGTGAGTGATATTATCAGCTCTTTTCAATCCATCTCATTTCAACACAAGATGTTACATTCACCCCACTTAGGAGTGCAATGTCCTCATTCCAATCCCCGCTAGGTAAAGTGAGCTCTCTAGCCTCCCCACAGTCCAAGAAAAGATCAAAGTAGTATATATATACTTGATTTAATTCAAATGGCTCATTTTGCTTTTCCCTTCAAATGAGAGTATATTAATATAACACGGTATATATAAGGCTCTACGGTGCTCTGTTCGATCTCAAACAAATTCTTAGATGCATGCAGTGGACTAGGATGAGAGTTTGTGGTGGATTATGGGATAAGAACCACTTCGAATTTGAATAAAGCACACTAGAACCCCTTAAAAGACATGAGTTTTACTACATTTAGTAGGACACTGTCAAAATAACCCCACTCATGAGTCATGAATAATGCATGAAAGCCAATAACACTTTTTTTAGAACTAACAGACATTTGTAGCCAGAAATAAGAAACTAATTTGGGGACAAAAAAAGGACTATTTCAATTAAATTAATGTGTTAATATACAGTAATTCTTGGTACACTCAGGTTCAAAAATACAAGCAGAAGAGCATGTGGTAAAATGATACAATACAGTAGATGGGGGAAGCTCCAAACTAGTCATGTCCCTCTTATATTTCATAAACAAATTATCACAGAGGCTCTATGTTTTTTTTTGTGGTAAAGATAAAATTTGCAAAGATTGATGGAATTCTTTACCGCCAATCAATCGGGGTTATAGCCTAGCCTGTTTATAGCGCTCTAAAATGCTCTCCCAACTTCTCTTGATGAAGATTATTCCAGCACTATGGAAACCGTTATTTGACTGCATTTTCACAAAGGATTTACAAGCAGAGTCGTCCATTTTGTGCTCTATTTCTTCAATGGGAACCAACTTAATCTCACTATACCAATACATTATGCTTTCATCATCGCTCAGTTTCTTGTGCAACACCTGCAATTCGAGAAGGAAAAAAAAGGGATTAAAAACAGTGCGAAAAGCCTAGTGAATCCGCTCCGTCTGTCCATAAAGAAGGAAGTGCAAAGGTATACAACAGTACCTCTATGTTTCTTTGAGAAGAAGATATCAAGGAAATGTTTCTTTGCCCTTTCAGGTTTCTCAACATGTGAGTGAAAAGAGACTTGTCTCTTCAATAAAGAATTTATTGAGAGCAGAAAAGGAAATCGCATGTAGTTTTTCATGCATAATGAAATCCCCCTGAAAAGATATATAACCTGATTATAAATAATGATAACAAATATAACTTTAATAATGATAATAAAATACTCTTAACAATATTAATTATCAACATGAAGAGCTGTTTGATACTAATGGTATGTTTAGTTCAAGTGGTTGAAAGGAGAGAAGAGAGATTCAGAAGTCTAAACTCCCCTCCATTCCCTCCCCTAGCCTCATTTGAATCAAACAGACCCTAAGAACAATGAAAATAAAAAGACATGATTACTTGCCCCTTCATCATCATGTCGCCATTGGATAAGCAATTTTAGATCTTCATAATTTTGTAATTTCATAAGGAACCCCTTTAGTCCACCCCTGCAAGCACTCTGAAAGTTTCCAACAGAAAGAATCATGTGAAGTTCTTCTACCTTGGGAATGTTCCACGAAGAGAACCAGGTATTCGAACTACACTCACCCGTAGAAATGAACCCTAGGTTAAGTAAATTTGGGGTATCAATTTCAGCACCAGGAAATCTACCGCAATAATGAATAAATAGTTGCTTGAGGCATGAACTGGAGATCTGAAATTTCCCTACCCATCGAAATACTTGAAGAGTAAACTCTTCAATATGGACAAGTTTGGGCAAAAAATGTTGAATATGAACAAGATCAGCAGAATGAATATCTCCACCCAATTCTAAACGTTTCAGACGAGTGCAACAAGTAAAGTCCACGGAACACGGTTTTAATGGAAAACAAACTAATGTTTCAAGACTCGGTGCAAAGATTTCAATCCTCTTGGGCTCTCCATCACACCCAATTCTAAAGTATTTCAGTCTAGACTTGCTTGGAATTGAGAGAAAACTTTCCAAACCCTCACAGTCTTCAACTTCCAAAACCTCCATCTCAGGGCAGCCGCGTATAATCCTAGACAACACATTCTCGCCAGTAAACTGGCAAGTTCGAATCTTGAACTTCTGCAGATGTGCAAGATCAACGGTGGCAATCTGATCTCCTAGCGTACACCCCTCAAGCTTTAAAATCTTTAGTGAATCTGAAACAACCACTTCTGCGGGAACAGAATACCAAACCCTGGGTTCATAATGAATCCATTTAATCTTAATCTCTAGCTTAGAAACATTCCTCTCAAGGGCTGCTCCGAACCACTGGTCCAGAATGGGGGAACACATCTCCAGGTCAAAGACAAAGAAACATATATGCATTTTGTGTATGCAAACTTTTCGAAATAGACATTGATCAAAGAGCATTCGAAAATGATCTAAGAATGGGGGTCGTCCTATGTAGTCCAACTCGTGCAAGATCAAATCTATGTTGGGGTAATTTGACCAAATGCTATTCCAGGATTTCGACAATACAGATGTACGGACAATATGTTTGAAAGGAAGAAATGACAATATGTGATGAATAACAGATTCAGACAGAAGTGAAAAGAATTCCGACAATTTGTCGTCATATCTTGCAATCCTCTTCCCGGTTCCATCTGTTAGAAACACGATTAACAGGCGAATCGCACAGAAAAACATAAATTAAGGATGACGATAACCAGTACCTGGATCCATGGGAACAATCCTAATCAAGCTGCATTGATCATTAAATCGACGAGCAGAGCAAAAAAATACTCCGTATACAAAGCAAAGTACAGATAATATAAGAATTTGGGGAAAGTTTAGGGCTTTTGAGTTTTGAGAGAGTTTGGAGGAAATTCTATTTAGGGATTTTGCCTACCTCTAATTTAGGCAAATATGACTAGTTTTATCTACTCTAACTATAATGAAAAAGTTCTAAAATGTCCTGCATTTGAGAAAATGATTTATTACACAATTCAACTAAAGTAAGATATTATTAAAAAAATTTGAATAGTCATTAATATAATCAATCAATATCTAACACCTATTGCTAATGATCATATGAGTAGAGTCATTCGTATAAACAATCATTATCCAACACTTATTACTAATAAGAGCATATATGACAGATTATATAGAAATATGTGTCATCAAAGGAATAAAACTTACTTTGTCCTATTCAGGAAAATGTACTATTGTTTAGTCATATATGAAGCAAATTTTTCTTTGCTTATTTTGGTCAAGTTGTTCTGACCATGTCGAAAATGTTTTATTAAAGGTATCCCTCTCTCAGGTGTATATTATCTTCTCACAAAGACACAAACATTCATTGTTTGATTTCACTGTCTGTGTGAAACATAGTCGGAAGACACAGACAGAAAGTATTTGTGTGTGTATGTGAGAAGGTAATATATAGTTGGGATACACCATCTTGGGATACACCTAACAAATTCCTTTACTAAGTTTGGCTGATATTAGCTTGTTGGGGTCTTTATAGTACTCCTGTTTGAAAATTTGACAGGTCCTTAGTAATCTAATCTTTGATACGGAGTAAAACTTAACTTCCAAATCAATTAAATTTGGTATGATGCAATTGAATGGTGTGGAGTGGGACAGAGTTGTGTCAGGGCAGTAGTGTTTACCGAGAAGTAAAAACCATCAATTTTTCAGATGAGTACTGTGAGACCCGAGATTATCCATTAATCCATTTCCAATATCATGATACCAAACTGTTAAAGTATATGGTATTGTTATATACTCCCTCCGTCCTAAAACTTTCTTCCCAGAGCACTATTCCAACTTCACGGGAATTTATATTTATTTGTGTTTTTTCATGGCCTATATGATAAAATAAAATATTCTTGTCACTACTTGTTTTGTTGAACTTTTGATGTAGTTTTTAAATATGTATGCTATATTTTTTATTTCTATAGCAATATTTAAATAAAATAGATTGAAAAAACTTGGGATTTTTTTTCGTTTTGCGCAACGGAGAAAAAAGATATAAGACGGAGGGAGTACAAAGTATTGTTGTTTACTTGTTTATACTCTCTCTACTAACTTATTTAAATACGGAGATAATAAGTCTATTTATACATTTGTGTATAATATGGATTATTTTTTGTTAACATCCATTCATACATTTAAAAATAATATGTTCATGTTTTTATAATAAGTTCATACATTCATACGTCTTTAAAATAAGGGAAAATAGTCAAAACACTAGAGTAAGAGCAAAATATCAAAGGGAGAAAGACCAAAGTATGACTAAAACATTGAAAATATACCAAAATAGAAATTTCATGTTTTTTATTTCTGAAATAGAACTTACATTACTAAACATGATCATATACATTACCAAAAAGCATAGTAATGTGCTCATGGCCACATTACCACATTGCAAAGTCATATTAGCACAATGTAAAGTCCTATTTCGGAAAAAAACATGAAAGTCCTATTTTAATACTTTTCTCTATATTTTAGTCCTATTTAAGGTGATTTCTAAAAATTAAAAATATACCAAAATATGAGTTCCATGTTTTTTTCCTGAATAGAAATCAAAATGCATTTACATATCCAACTATGACCATGTACCTTATCAAAAAGGATAATAAAATGCACGTATACAATGTGACATTACTACATTCCCAACTCCTAATTAGAAAATAAAAATATGGAACTTCTATTTCGGTACATTCTCTATGTTTTACTTATATACGTTTGATTTATTAAAAATATGACTTAATTTGCACACATCCTTTGTGACATGACTGAATTTATCAATACCCTTTACAAGCAAATAAAGCTTTCAAAAACAAAACAAAAAACAAAACTACTCGGTATAATACAATCCTAAATCCTTTACAATTTACCCATTGAAGTGTACAAGCCAATGATCACTATAACTCCCAATATGCTGTGAGAACCCTGTGCTTTGGTTTATCCCTCTTTTTGATATTTTGTTAAGATAAACTTACAGAGAATCATGGAGTATTTTCCCGCCAATCAATCAGGCTAAGCTCTGCAAATCTCTAAAAACTTCTCTCAACGAGGACGATTCCAGCAGTGTGGTAACCGTTTGAATATGTCTTCTCAAAGGATTTACAAGCAGTGTCCATTTCATTCTCTATTTCCTCTATAGACACCAGTCGAACCTCACTATGCCAATACATTATTTCTTGGCTGTTGCTCAGCTTTTTATGCAGCCTCTGAAATTCAAATAAGAGAAAGGCAGAGTAGTAAATGTAAAACAGGTACTAGAACCCAAATGATCGAGAAGGAAGTGCAGATAAATACAACACCTCTATGCTGCAACGAGAAGAAGATATTAGGGACAGATGTTTAGAGCCGCTGCAAATATCCAACATGTGAAAGAGACTGTCATCGCTTCTAGACGATATGAGGACATATGTGGGATTTGCCCTTTTTACAAATTTATTGAGGGAAGAAAAGGAGACTGCATTCAGTTTCTCATGCATTATGAAATCCGCCTGCAAGTTTAACACTATTAGAAATAATAGTTACTCTGTACTATGCTAATAATCATCATAATATTCAATATTAACAATTTCATGAAGGTATGTTTGGTTTGAAGACATGGTAATGGAGGGGAGATTTTTCTCTCCTATTCTTCTTCCTTTCCCTCAAATTGAAGGGAGCAGTTTTGAACATTTCTGAAAAAACAACGGGCAGAAGCAATAACCATTCATGGTGTAGGTAATAGCTCTTGGCTAATAGTACTTGCATGCTTAAATTGATAATTAAGCATGAGAAATAGAAAGGTAGATACTCGTTTGTCTTGTGGAGTTGATCTATCCGTTGAAATTAACGTTTACAACAACAACAACAACAACCAAGAAGGATCTCAGAAGAGTATGTGTTTGGGGAGGGTGTGTGTACGTAGATCTTACCCTACTTAAAAGTAGAGAAGCCGTCAAAATTAACGTTTGTAAAACAAAATAGTAAAAACTGCTTTCAAAAATAAGCAATAAAAAGAATTTGGAATTTCCTAAAAGGAGGAGCTCCCAATTATCCTGCCTCAACCACCTTATGGCAAACATACAATGATGAGAGAGAGAGAAAGATGTGAAGACATACCCCAGTTCCCCCACCAAAATTATGTATCCATCCAATAACCAATTTCAAACCTTCGTAATTCTGCAACTTCATAAGAAATCCCTTTAATCCACCCCGGCAAGCACTCTGAAAGTTCTTATAAAAAAAGACCATGTGAACTTCTTCTACCCTGGGAGCATTCCAGGAACTAAACCAGTATTTTGATCTACATTTGTCCAAAGATCGGTACTGTAGACTAAGTAAATTTGGAGTTTCAATTTCACCACCACAAAATCCACCGCAATCGTCAACGATTAGTCGCTTGAGGCATGAGCTTGAGATCTGAAACTTGTCTATCCCTCGACAAAGAAGAAGTTTCAATTCTTCAATGCACAAGAGTTTAGACTTTAGACGATGAACATACTCAGCAGAAAGGGAAGCTGAATGCAATTCCAAATGTTTCAGAGCAGTGCAACCAATCAGGTCAACAGAACACCCACGTTTCACAGAACAATAAAATGTTTCAAGACCTGGTGCTAAAATCTCAAGCCTTTCCAATTCATCATAACACCCAATCCTAAAATATTTCAATCTAGACCTACACGGAATGGAGAGAAAACTCCCCACGCCCTCACAACTTGAAACTTGAAGAAACTCCATCTCAGGGCAGCCACATAGAATCTTAGGCAACACATTCTCACTCGCAAATCGGCACGTATAGAGCTTCAACTTCTGCAGATGTGGTAAATCAATGCAAGAAATCCTATCCCCAAATGTACACCCGTCAAGATCTAAAACCCTTAGTGAATCATAAATGACTAATTCTGGGGGAATCGAATACCAACTATCTCTAGGATCAGCCCACTGAACCTTAATAACTAGCTCGGAAACATTCATTTTAATGGCTGCCACACAGAAAAGATCAATAACGGGGGATACCACTCTAGTTTGAAGACAGGGATATGCATATGCATTTTCTGTATGCATCCCTTTCGAAACAGACATTGTTCAAAGAACATCTGAACATTGAAAATGTTCACCTCTTTGTCAAAGTCTAAATCGATGTTAGGGTAATTCAACCAAGTGCGATTCCAGGCCTTTGACAACACAGAAGTACGGACGATGTGTTTGAAAGGAAGGAATGACAATATGTGATGAATAACAGATTCAGGCAGAATTGAAAAAAAGTCCAACAATTTATCGTCATATCTTGCAATCTTATTCCCAGATTCATCTGTTAGAAAAACGATTAACAGACGAATTAGGAGCCATTTGCAGGAGCAGATTAAGCGATCACGCAGCAAAACAAACATAAGTTGAGGAAGACGATAAACAGTACCTGGATCCATCGGGATTGAAGCCTAATCAAGCTACCATATACTCTCGGTCAGCATAAAATCGATCCGGCAGAGCAAGAAGCAGAGCAGCGGAGAGGTAAATTTAGCACTTCGACAAAAAGAGAAAGGGTATGCTACATAAGTTTGGTGAGTTAACAAAAATTTACACGGACACAAAGTATCGGTGCATTAACAAAAATTAGTTTTACACCAACACAAAGTGTCGATGTAAACCTGCGGAGTACAAAATGGGGTACAAAAGTTGGGGTACAAATAATACAAAAAAATACTAGAAATGCTAGTATATAGTGTCACATTGTCGCAATACAAATTCTTATTTTGCATATTAAACAAAAAACTTCTTCTTTGGCACTTTTTTAATGTTTCTATTTTATAATTTTTTTGAGTATAATAATATGAAAAGATTAAGAAATACTCCTTCCGTCTTAAAATACTCCATTAGTCAAACTTTTTAAACTTTGAATCGATTCATTTTGAAACATAATTTTATATAAATTTGTTATCAATAGATTCATTTTGAAACATAATTTTGAAATATACTTCTTGCCTCAAAAAATTATCTTCCTACTAATATACTCTCTCTGTCAGATAGTATTAGAAATATATACTCCCTCCATCTTAAAATTAATTTCTCATTTAGATTTTCACGATCTTCAATGTAATACTTTAACCATCATATTGTCTATCATATTGTCTATTATTATCTGTAATAGTGTAAAGGTCAGCATCAAAAGGTGAATGAATATACGGAGTAATATTTAGTGATGAAGATTTGTGTTGTACAGATTTATCATAGGAAAAAACACTAAAGTACTAAGTTATGAGTAAAAGTATAGAAAAAATACTGAAATAAAAGTTTCATATTTTTAAGCTTAAAATATGATGTTTTTAATCCAAAATATGAATTACAATACCAATGATATCAACATATACTACAAAAAAAATACTAGAAATGCTAGTATATAGTGTCACATTGTCGCAATACAAATTCTTATTTTGCATATTAAACAAAAAACTTCTTCTTTCAGTTCTTTGGCACTTTTTTAATGTTTTACACCTATTATGGGTTTTTTATTAAATAAGTATCACATCTGACCTTGAAAATCCTTGCCCGCATACATGAGAATGCCCCAATACCCAAATCACTTTTAAATTTCAAAAAATCACAATGTTTGGACACTTCCAACCCTTTCTTCGTACAAGGTCATCTTCTCTTCAACATATTCTTATTAGTTATTACTTTTTTTTATTTGAATCACATCAGATCAAACTAGATGAGAACTAGTTTTAATATATCAGAACCATTAGAGCAGGTAAAGAAAACATGTCCTATGTAGTTTAAATAGTCATCTCTATCCCAGTGCAACTTAGATGAACATGACAAAATTGAGTGACGTTGAGTTTCGAACCGATATTATGTCAAGAAATCCAAAAACTCAAGCTTGTTTTTTTTACATATTGTAACAACTTCATAGTTTATCCTCTTTTTTTCATTTCTAAAGATAAAGTTCCACAAAATCTTTGAATATTTTCCCGCCAATCAATTTAGGCCAGCTCGAGATTCCGGCGAGCTCCCCTAAGCTTTCTCAACGAGGACGATTCCAGCCGCGTGGTAACCATTTGAATGTGTCTTCACAAAGGATTTACATGCAGAGTCCATTCCCTTCTCCATTTCCTCCATAGAAACCAGCTTAAACTCACTATGCCTAATCTTCAGACTTCCTCTGTTGCTCAGTTTCTTGTGCAGCAACTGCAGTAGTTCAAGTAAAACAACTGTGACTAAAAAATTATTGTTTACTGATTAATAAATAAGGAAACTCAGATAAATACGACACCTTTATGCTTTGGCGAGAGGAAGATATTAAGGAAAGCTTTTTAGAGCCATGCCAAAAACCCAGCATCTCAGTCAAGAGAGTTTCATCACTTATAGAAGATATGATGACATATGTGGGATTTACCCTTTTTACAAATTCATTCAGAGAAGAAAAGGAAACTGCTTGCAGTTTCTCGTGCACGATGAAATCCGCCTGCAAGTTTAACACTATTAGACATAACGATATTCAATACTACCACTACCACTGAGTGTATTTGCCAGTTTGACATTCGAGTCAAACTGGATAAGTTTTGAGTTTCAGTTACTCTCGATTTGTGTTGCATATTAGTACAGTGAAATAAAATTTTGAAAGTTCTCAACTAGATAAGCCTACTGAAAACATTTTAAAATTAATATGCATTACAGGTTTTGTTTAGTTGAAGCTCAAAGTTCAACGTGTTTCACTCGAAAAATCAAACTGGATGAATACATTGAGGCGGAGGGAGTATTAACAGTTGCATGAAGGTAAGTTTGAGACTAAGGGTATGTTTGGTTTGATTATTTTCTCATATTCTTCCCTTCCCTCAAATTGTAGGCAGTGATTTTGAACACTTCTACCAAAGCAATGAGCAGAAGCAATAAGCATTGAGCAGTCATGGGGTAGGAAATTTAAAGTTTAGAGGGCTTCAAATAAGCAATCAGAAATTTAAATTTTGTTTATCAAAAACAAAGTTGTAAAAACTGCTTTAAAAACAAGCAAAAAGAAGAAACTTATAGGAGAGATAGAGAGAGGTGAAGACATACCCCACCATGGTCATGTAGCCATCCAATAACCAATTTCAGATCTTCATAATTCTGTAACTTCTCAAGAAACCACTTTAATCCCCCCTCGTACGCACACCGAAAGGTGTTATTAAAAAATACCATGTGAACTTCTTCTACCTTGGGAGCATTCCAAGAAAGGAAACAATATTTTGGTCTACATTTAGCCGAAGAGTTGTACCGGAGACAAAGTAAATTTGGGGCATCAATTTCAGCACCAGAAGTTTCACCATAATCGTCAATGCTTAGTCGCTTGAGGCACGAGCTTGAGATCTGAAACTTGTCTACCCCCAAACAACCACTAAGTTTCAGTTCTTCAATACAAAAGGATTCAGACAAAAGATGCTGAACATAATCTGAAGAAAGAATGGCATCATGCAATTCCAAATGTTTCAGAGCAGTGCAACCAAACATGTCAATGGAACACCCATGTTTCACTGAACATTTTAATGTTTCAAGCCTTGGTGCAAAAATCTCTATCATTTTCGTTCCTTTGTCACTAATACTAAAACATTTCAATCTAGACGTGCCCAGAATGGAGAGAGAACTTCCCACGCGCTCACATCTTGAAATTTCAAGAAACTCCATCTTAGGGCAGCCACATAGAATCTTAGGCAACACATTCCACTGGCAAATCGGCACCGATAGAGTTTCAACTTGTGAAGATGTGGTAAATGAATGCTGGAAAACCGGTCTCCTAACACACACCCCTCAAGCTCTAAAACCCTTAGTGAATCAGCAAAAACTATATCTGGGGGAACAGAATACAACATATCATTGGGTTTATGACGCCCAACCTTAATCACTAGCTCTGAAACATTTCTCTTGATGGCTGCATGAAAGCAAAAATCCATAAGGGCGGCATAACTTTCCCGGTTGAGGGCAGTCATACGTATATGCATTTTCTGTATGAACACTTTTCGTACCAGACATTGGTTGGTGAACGTCAAAACATCAACTAAAAACGAGCGTTTTTGAGGATTGCTAAATACCCTGATCTCCTTATCCAAGTCTACATCGATGTTAGGGTAATTGGACCAAATGCGATTCCAGGCCTTCGACAACACACGTGTTCGGGCAATTTGTTTGAAAGGAAGGAATGACAATATGTGATGAATAACCGATTCAGGCAACTCCGACAATAAATCCAAAGATTCACCCTCACATCTAGCGGTTTTATTCCCGATTTCATCTATCCGAGAACAGGTTACTATCCAAACAAAAAAATGATGAAATTAGTGTTAATATTTTGTACGAAGAAGCAAAATATTTTGTATTACATATACATCTATAAAAGAATGATAAAGATTGAATTTTTTTGGAACACATACAAAAAAAATAAGATTATGTTAACGGGATTTCTAACACAATTAGCACGCCATGTATATTTATAACTTGATTAGCAGGGAGTATTCAAATGTTACACGTTTTATTTTTTGTAACAAAACATCCATATTCTTCAAAAACCCAGATCAGGATCAATGAAATTGGATCATACCAAACCTTTAAAAACCAGATCAGAATCAAAAAAGCAAACGGAGTACAGCCTAAGAAATCGCAGAGAAAAACCGAAAATTAACAGAGTTTGATAGCACAGTACCTGGATCCATCTGGGAAGGAGCCATATCAAGTTGCCGTATGCTCGCACAGGCAGCACAAGAGAAGAGAGCAAAGGTAGGGTGAAAATTTGGAGGGAAATTTAGGACTTGGACGATGAGAATTTGGGACGAAAATCTCCTATTCTAGGTTATAAGAAAGAAAATTTTGCACGAGTCCTTTTAGTGGAAGAACTCAACTTTCGAACCGGATTACAAAAATAAAAATTTGCATTTTGCACTGAAATGATTAAAAAATAAAATCGAAGGATTCAAATTTCGAACGGGTAACAAAAAAATACTTTATTTTTAATTTGTGACGAAAAGATACCTCATTTTTTAAAAATGTGACAAAGAAAATATTTCTTACTAAAATTCTGAAAATTCACCCGATAAATGCATGTGGCTTTCTACTTGATTTCCTAGTAAAAATGTGACATTCAATAATCAATAGGGTTTCTAAATTACTTGTAATTTATCTTATATTTGATTGATTTGTATTTGACACGTTTGGAGTTATATTTTGGATATTTTATAAAATTGTATTTGTTCATACAATATATATTTTTCTTCTCATGATTAATTTTATTTTAACCTCGTGCTTCCTAGAAGATGTTGTATTTTCATTTTAGTATTTTGAAGATTTTATAATTTACAATATATTTTAAACAAAAATAGAAATGACCTTTTAATAATTTTCTACTCCGTATAATAATGTAATTTTTAAAATTTATCTTTTTAAAATTTAAATTCTAATAAAATTTATTTTTATTATTATTCCTACGACTATCATCGTTATTATTGTTATTATTACTATTAGTATAAGGTATTATTGTTACGCATAATGAATTTTTGTAAGTCATCTAAGCATTTCTAGAAAGAGGCATTCATGCAATATCGTGTTTATATGTCTATTAAAATTCTTACTCCAAAAGAGTATAAGTATTTTAAAATTTAGATAAATAATAAATTCCGACCTTTAAAATTACTCTTGGTCATTTGTATCAATTATCCTATGGCGGAGGCTATGTGGGCCATATCACAATCGAATATCGTGGGGTACTTGTGTGTGCTAGATGCACTATAAGAAGATCCTACAAGTGGTATCAGAGTAATGGTCAAGAGTTTGATTTTTATTTGACTAGGTGAAAAATACTATTTGGATATTTGATAGTGGGTGTTCAAGACGCATGACCAGAATAAGAACATGGTTTACTAATCTCAATTCTCTTGGAGAAAAGTCACAGGCATGTCACTCTTCGAGACAAAACAAAGAAAAAAATCATCGGCAAAAGTGCGATTGGTATTACAAGTGATTTTATTATAAATGATGTTTATCTTGTTCATGGTCTGAAGTTTAATTTAATTAGCATAAGTCAACTTTGTGACAAAGATCACAAAAATGAGTTTAACACAAATTCTTGAGTCTTATATGGCCAACACAATGATGAAATCATTCTTGATGCTAAAAGTGATGCAAATTTGTATAAGTTCAATTCTAAAGATTTAAACAACTCAAAAATCACTTGTCGTGTCGTTTCACTTAAATTGTCTATTCTATGTCATCGTGGGCTAGGACATGCGAGCTATGATCTTTTATAAAAACTTGCATCTAGTGGCTTAGTTGTTGAATTGCCCAAGATGAGCATACCCCCTTCTCGTTTTTGTGATGCATGCCCTTCTAGAAAACAACATAAGATCTCTTTCAAACTCATAAAGATTATTGATTTTAATGTCAAAGCCACTTAAACTATTACATATGGATTTATTAGAGCCCGTATACGTACAAAGCCTGGGTGGAGCTAGTTTTACATTAGTCATTGTAGATGATTTTTCTCGTTTATACTTGAGATATATTACTTGCCAATAAAAGTGATGCTTTTAATATATTTGTTAAATTGTGCGGGAAAATTCAAAATTAGAAAGGGTATTCTATTACTTCAATCAAAAGCGATAGAGGTGGAGAATATAAAAATTCCGAATTTGAAGTCTATTGCAATGAGCATGAAATTTCACACAATTTTTCAACTCCAAGAGACGTTGAAAGAAAGAATAGAATATTACAAGAGATGTCAAGGACCATGCTAAAAACTACCTCAATACTTTTGGGGAAAAGCGGTCAATACGGCATGTTATGTTCTAAACTGAGTATTACTCATACCTATTACACAAAAGAATCCATTTGAGCTTTGAAGGGTAGAAAACCAAACATTTCTTACTTTAAAGTTTTTTAGTGTAAATGATATATTTTGAATACCAAAGACCATTTGGGCAAATTTGAGCCAAAATCAAATGAACAATTTTTTTGGGTATTCAACAAATAGCAAAGCCTATCATGTTTACAATAAATGAAATTTTAATGTTGACGAGTCTATGCATGTAAAATTTGATGAGAATGATCATTTTGGGTCGAGTAAGGTAATTACAGGCTCAGATGAAAAAGAAGAAGAAATGGAGGAAGAAATCCTGGAAATTCCAACTCAAGATGAAACTCATGAAGCAATTGAGTTACTCAAAGCGTACAAACATTTAAAGAATCATCCAACGGAAAATATTATTGGCGATATTGAAAAGTGAGTTAGAACTAAGAGAAAATACAATCTTTGTGCATACGATGCGTTCGTCAGTCAATTTGAACCTAAGAATATAGATAATGTATTAAAAGATAGTGATTGAATTGTATGCATTATGTGCACTTAATTTTAAATTGAAGAAATTCAAATTCCAAGCCTGATTAATATACATGAAAAATTATCTGGTATTCGATAAACAATTCATCAAATGCATTATGTGCATTAAATTTTAAATTCAAGAAACCATAAACATCAAATTTAATTCAATTTTGGCTCACCCCTTAGAGCTGCATCCACCAACGTCTGGTTCATCAGCGGCGCCGCCCAGCTTAAAGATCTTTTAAAGGAAGTTCAATGTTGCGAGGGGAGAGGGCGGAGAAAATAAATGTCATCAATTAGACTTTAATTGCAAAATTAGCATTGAAATTAGACCGTCGGATTACATATGAAATTAAAATTGCACCGTGAGATCTTGGGGGCAATTTTAATTATGCTTTTATATACTTCCTCCATCCCATTTTAAATCGTCTGTCTGCCTCTTTTCTTTGTCCCAAAATAAGTTGTCTGTTAGTTGTTATCGTAAATTATTAAAAATAAAATACTTAAACTACCCCTAAAATAAGTCACTCTTTTTCACTTTATCTTCTAATTCATCGTCACTTCTCAAAAAAGTAATGACAATTTTAGAAAATCAACTTTATTTTTTCTTTTCCTTAAATATGCCCAGAAGTCAAAATGAGCAATTTAAAATGGGACGGAGAGAGTATATAATTGATGTATTAGAAATTATTTTCTAGTCGGAGTGAATATTTGAGAAGACTCGTAATAATTCATAAGCAATATCTTCAAATACTCTTTGGCCTTGTTTGAGAACTACGTTTTCGATTAACGTTATCATTTTGGATAAAATTTTAGTAACGTAGAGTAATTCTAAAAACAATAAGTCGATAACGCTAAAGGCTACCGTCAAATAACCTTTTCAAAACACGAACGCTAACTTCTAACGCTAATGTCAAACGGAGCCTTTATATTTTAACTAATTATGCTACGTGTGCTAATTTTCTTTGAACACCACACCTTTTATTAAACCCCGAATTTAGTTCTTAAAATTTACTACTCCGTATGATTATCTAAAATATTCTCTATTCTCTATCTAGAGCCATTATTTAAATAAATTTTGAATGATAGAGACAACTCAATCATTTGTTGGAGTCTAAGAGTATTTGTAGGACTCTATCACTTATTTTAAACCAATAATCACTCACAATCACATCACTGCTGGCAATTAGGGGTATAAACGAACCGAATCGAAGCGAATACCGAGATATTTGAATTTGTATTTGTTTAATTTTTTTGAATACGAATACGAATCTGAATATGAGACGAATTCAAAATAAGATTTGAATATGTATTTGATTAATATTCGAATAGCTATCGAATCCTAAACGAATATTTGAATAATCATGCTATGTAATTTATATGATGGACCAATATCGATTTGTAATTTAACTTACGATACTCCTTATACTATACTATATTCCGTATCTAAAAACATTAAGAAATTTGCATCTCACACAAATTATATTTTATAAAATATAACTATTAAAAATCAAATGCTTTAGATTTTCGTGTTACATTAATTTATTGAATTCTTAGTAATTTAAATACATTTTATACTATATTATTTTGCTTGACTTTTGATATTGAAAACATGGTTTGTGCATATATACATATATTCGAATATTCGAATATCATCTGAATCGAATATATCCCTATTTGTATTTGTATTTGTTTAATATTCGAATAAAAAATAATATTTGAATTTGAATTTGTATTTGAATAATGCGAATTCGAATCATTATATTCGAATACGAATCACGAATCGAATTCAAAATATTTGATTTGTTTACATCTCTACTGGCAACACTCTCATTTTCATATTACGGACTACGGAGTATTAAGTATTACTCCCTCGGCGTCCACCTAATATCTTCTCATTACGCGTTACGAAACTTGACTAGTAAAAATGAGCAAACAAAGTAAGTAAAATTTGACCATGTGAATAATATATGGGAAAATTTATGGTGGACAGAGGGAATACTTCATACTCCGTATGACACATTTTTAAAAAAAGAAAAGAAAAGAAAATATTTTGCACCCAATTTTTGTTTACTCTTTTTATTACCCAAAACATAAAAATACGGAGTATAATCTAGCTTAATTTAAAAGGAAAACCCATATTAATTCAATTTATAATTAAAACTCATTTCATTCAAAAAATAAATAAAAAATAAAACTTGTTTGAACATGTGAATAATGTAGAAGTAATTTAATTTGGAACGACTACAAAATTACAATCATACCCCACCTTTCACAATTTCAATCGTACCCCACCCACTATAAGACCACTCACCATGACAATTTTTTTCTCAAACGCGAGAGATCTTATACTATGTTTGGATGGTTAGAAAATAGAGAAAGAAAATATTAGATGAAAAAAAATACATAAATCAATGCAAACTCACTTGTTAGAATATGTAAGAAAATGTAAGAAAGAGAGAATATAAAGCATGTAATCAATTGAAAGATTTTCTCACCATAGATAAGAAAATGGATGAAAGAATATTCTCTCTTTTTCCCAATCTTTTCATCTTTTCTCACTATTTTCTTATCAATCTCTATTGATCCAAACACTTAACTTTTTCTCTCTTCATTTTCTCACTATTTTCTTTTCTCTCATTTTATTTCATCTTATTTTCTCATCTCATCCAAACAAACCATTAAGCTCCCTAAGTACCAACGGTGAATTTTTTCTACGTGAGTTTTTCTTAGCACTCTGTGTGTGGAAACCAAAATGCATTACAACATGGACAATGGGGCTCCCCATTGAGACAGAGTCCCTAAGAAAGGCTGTTTGAAAACTTTTCTTGTGATGGAATTGAAAAGAAAGTCAATCAAATTAGATTTTAGCCATAATTCCCATGTTTCCAATCAAGAAGAAGAAAAGGAAGAACCAAAGGGAAGAATTGCAAGAGGGATAACGGTACAATTGAAACCCCACATTAACTTGTTTTGTGTTGCACAAAAGAAAAACAAATTAAACTATAAGTTATGACACAAAAGAATTGAGAAGAAGAATAAGTGTGAACCTCATGAACCTTTGTCGGCATTGCTCCACCAAAAACTGACCGAGAAGCTTGTGGTGAGAGAGCGAACGTAGTGCCACCACCTTGGGGGTATGTATAGCATCTCCCCTTCCTCTAAGATGCAATCTTGGAACTCGAGCTCTGCCATCTTTGGGAATTTGCTTTCATCCATGTTGTCGAGATCCACCTTCAAATAGAGATTTCGAGCGATGGATGAGAGAGAACCCAGAGACAAAAGCACAGAAGTGTGGAAAAGAAAAAATTACCTCCCCTTGGGATGAAGAAAAAGAATCATCTACATTACATTTTCACGTATTCTACACATTTTCACATGCCAATGAACAAATTCAACCAGAAGATAAAACTTGTGGTTGTGGATACTCTAACAAATTTTATCCTTTAAGGGTTTTTCGAATGCAAAATTTATGACTATGAAAAATCTACTTTATAAAATTTAGAATGGCATTCACATAGTACATATTTTTAGTCTGTTTTAAATGAAATTTAATTTGAATAATAAAAACTTAAACAGGGACCCCATGGCTCAAGATTCCGGGATCCGCCTCTGCTTTCAACCACACAATTTTACTTTTCTTAAACTCTGTGCCAAACCAAATGAGGAACTTTATTTTGGGACGAAAGGAGTATCTCTAATGAAAATATCCTTAAATATCCCAAACACAAGGTCATGGTTAGTCTAACAATCAAATACGGCTTATCAAAATTTTGTTCTGTGTTAATGGGGTTATTAATATCACTTCCATAATGAGGTTTTACCTCGTGGCAAACACATGTATCTATACACTAATCACATGATATCAAACATGCAAGAGAGTCACCTGGCTGGAATTGCATAGCATTCTCTCAGTGTGTGGGTAAAGCTCTTCTGAGAGTGTGGCAGGGTAAAGTCTAATATACTTTTTGCCAACCACCTGAAAGTATGAACGCAATTACCACCAAGTATAACTAGATATCACATGTGGGTTTGGTATCTTTGTAAGAACTTTCCCTAGAAAATTAAACAAGAGTATATTACGTAAAATAATACTCCGTATTACCCAACAAATACTATCAAACGAAAAACCAATACGAAGAAACCCAAAATTTATGTGATTCAACAAGTTGCATACATCAAAGGGTGTAGCTAGTCACTCCACTAAGTCAAAAGTAAAAATAAAGATTTGGGTATGCCGCCAATGACAATCATAGGTTTTCCCTAAAGTCATTTCATATTCCTAATGAAAGCAAGTGACTTTCCCTAAAGTCACTAACCTGTTTTCAGATTTATGTACATATTATAGAACGAACTTGGTAGTCGATGATAGGCTTTACCTATCAGTTACACCATATTTATAGCATTGCACCGGGTTATTAATACCTGAGCAAGTATATTATGATGAGGGTCATGATGCAATGGTGTCACTGTACCAGCCGGGCCAAACCAAGCATTAAGCGACCTGATTTCCCCACCTCCAGCAAAACAGTAATCAGGGATAAGAATGTCCTGCTTTAGCTCTTGGATCTGACATTTAAGTTAAGACCATAACTGGCATCAGAAACAATAGATGGCTACCTCATGCATTTGCAAAATCTTGTACCTGATCAAATAACTGGTGCTGAGCTAGGTATGTAGTTTCAGTGAAAGCGTAACCATTGCTCTGAATCCTCTCTAGAAACTCAGAGAATGTGATCAGCTCTTGTTTCCAATCTGAGCACAAATAGTTCTTTCCTACCTTGAACATAATATTCACAAATCACAATGCAAATTTTAGATATTTTTAAAATCTTGGATCATACTTTTGATAATCTAGGACACATGCATGCCATGGGAATCATATTTTGGTTTGGTGATCTCATACTAGTATCAACCATTGCTCCCTCTCTTCCAAAAACAAGAGTTTATTTCATAAAACTAAAAATATATTTTAAATATTTGCCCTCCATTCTAAATCAAGATTTTGTTTAATAATAGTACAACCATTTTTTAAGCTTTAGTGAAGTATTGGAAATCATCAATTATATCTATTTTAGCATCATTTGTTGGTTTAACTAGATTTAACACACTCAACTCATTAAAAAGAAACATTAAATATGATGAATATTGGCTTTTTCAGTTCAAATAGGACATATTTTATTTGGAAAAAGTATTAAGTTTTCAATCATGGCTTTCTGAGGGACATAGGGAGCCAGTTTTTACGCAAGAAGTTCATGTCCAGGCTCTTAAAGAATTAGTTACTACGTAGTAGATTATTTGAAAGCATATACATGATACAGTAACAAGGCCTGGTAAATAAAAAATGATAAATAAAGTGAAACATTGAAAGAATGCAAACAAAGGCTTAACATGCTATCTGCATACACATTGATCACCTGGATGTTTTACTAGATTGATAGACTAGACAATTTAAATTATAGTAAACAAAATCTCAATTACCTCAACTGGAACAGTACGAAATCCGGCAATGCTACGTAAGTAGCTCAAATTGTTCCACTTGCTTTTTGCTGGCCAATGATCCATTGAATCTTTTATTATAACAGGTGAACCTGTTAAAAAATGGTCCCTTAGGAAGCTTTCCAATGATAATGCAGACCTTTTGCTAACCATTTTACAAGAGAGTGACTTTATAGGCAATATCCGCATTACCTGCAAATCCAATCCAAATGATCACTATTTTTTTGAGAACAATTTAAAACTAATTTCACACTTGCAATCAACAAAAATCTACAGCCTTTACGATACACAAAAAAGTCACTTCAACAAAAAAAACCTGAGACAAAGAGACAATGCAATGGGAGAAAGAAGATAAAAATAGTACCGGAGTAATTTGAAAGCAAACGATTATAAAAGAACCATGCCAAAAAAAGAATCTCAAATTCAGACTACCTCTGTTCCAAAATGGATGTAAATTTAATGTTCTTTTCTCTATTTATCTGTTCTCTTTAACAAAAATCCATATCCGTAGTTGAATTACTTAAATAGTCACATCACCTCTAAATTTAAAGAAACTTTAGTGTAGTTTAAATACCCAAACTTAATTCAGTTAATTAAAAATTAGTACAAAAATAAAGCTGATAATTACTTCAATCAAGCCTTGTTGTTGTATGAAGCAGACAACCATTTGGGACACACGGAGTGTTTAGTTAGGATCAAGTCAATTTCACATATTTGAGTTAGATGAAAAGGATCCAACATGAAAACTCACTATCAAGATTGACTCACAGCACTGGATGTTGAATGATATGTAGTTTTTCTGACATCTTTAAGCCTGTTCAGGCTGTTCTTCACTTACATCACTTACAGATATACTGGGTAGTATCCTACATTGTAAAACAATACATGTATAATCACTTAAACACACTAGGTACTATACACTACCCAGTAAGGAGTAGTCAAGACCTCATATTGGCAGAAATGGAGCAGACAAAATATAGAAAGTAATTCATGAAACAGTGAGCAAAATAAGGGAATGCAGCCAAAATAAAATAGTAGGATTAATTTCATTTCCGTATTAATTAAATTGTAATGGTACTCCATGAGTTTCTCAAAGCACTCCTATGCATTTTACACCACTCAACAACATGCATATGATGCATTGGTAAAAGAAGCTTGTACCACTATCTAGAACACATCTATCTCTTTGAGAAAACTTCTACCATCAGCAAATGGTAGTCCCTGTGTATTGCATAACCTCCGGCTGTGATCTCATATCACCTACATATAAACTAATATGGCTATGCTATTCATACAACAAAAGTTGTACACCAAGATTGAACAACACCTTTTTTTACACACATAAACAAAAAAAAATATTCTCACAAACATTTTATTCTCTAGTCTGTGTGATGATATCTTTACTCTCCAGTCTCCTCTCATATGCACTCATAGTCTTTGCACAAAGATCAATGTCCGTGAGAGCAAAAATACATGCAAGTAAAGAGATGGTGTTGTACAACTTTTGTTGTAAGATACATCATTATTGAAATTAAAAGGGTCATGTTTAGCTCAAACTTAGGCACATGCATCTACTTCTTACATTAAAAGCCCAATGACAAATCATGATCCTGATTACATTTCCTACTTTGAGATATACATCCCATTTATTAGACTGCAGACCAAGTTTGGTAACAAAATATACGGAGTATTACGCAAGTGGAAAGTTTTAAGCTATTACATAATTAGAAACACTACATGTGAACCCTTAGCCTAGCATTCCATTTGAAATTTTGATTCTTTGTGATCCATCCTGTTGCTGGTAGGTTTAGAAACACGAAGATCTACATCCATCTAGCAAATAACAATGTGAAATTGCAGAAATTGCTAAACAAAATCAGTGAATGGCTTTTCAGTTTTCACATATGATCAACATCCGTCTGAATTTGTAACACACATAGGTCCCGAATATGAAATGCTCATTTGCAGACATTCAGCGGCTACTTTAGATTTATTTTAACAACAAATCAGTAAGAAGACAGAGATGGAATGTGTGTAAAAGAAACGAACCTCACCTCTTCTGTGCTAAGATCTCGAGAAACTATTCTATGCGTTTGTTCCAATTGATCATTTGCTGGAGAAGCTTCTAGAGAACTGCTGGCTTTTCTAGTGGCCTTTCGTATTGCGAGATTCAAGTCGTCTCGGAGGGTCAATCCGCCCATGATGATGCCCATGTCGAGAGCTCGAATCGCCTGGCAGAACTCGCCGGCGGCGTAATGGAGCCTGGCCACGTGGAGACACGCTAAGGAGTACGCGTCCCTCCAGACGGGGACAACCGAATGCCACGGACCGGAATGCAGCTGCTCCCAGGCCATCTCCCTCGCCGCCTCCGCCGCCTTAGGATCGCCTCCGGCCGCTTGCGCTTCCATTCTCGCGTAAGCGTAGCCGCCTTCTTCCGTGATACGGTGCAGCAGATTGGCCCGCTCCGCACCCAGTAACGGCGTGTCCAGAACGTCGTTGTCCTCGGCGACGGCGACGGCGACGGCGGTCATAGTTGGTCGTCGGAGGTAGTGTCACTAATCAATAGAACTTTCTCTAGATTTAGAAGATATTTTCAGAGCAATTCGGAGATTTTATTGGGAAAAAGTGGAAAAATATCCTCCAGTGAAGAATGATCAAACTTCAAAATAATCCAAAATGGAAATATCTCCCGGTAATTAGATTAGAAGCAAATTAAACACCTAATCTACTCAAATAAGTTATTTGAGTAGATTAGGTGTTTAATTTAAGAGTAAATTTATAAGAAAGAGTTTTTCATATTTTGTATTTCGATAATTTGTTCATCAAGTTAAGATACTTTAATTTAGAGTAATATTACATCATCTTTATGTCCATTGACGTACTTTGGTGTTGGTAATTTTTTCATCGAGTTAAGATATATGCTCGTTTTAAGGACTTTAGTCTATTTATAGTTTAAAAAATAGACTCTTTACAAAGAAAATATTCACATGGAAACATATTAAATATAGGAGAAGATCCACATTTTAAATATGAACATTGATACCATGTAAGCATCATTCTTTGATCTTGCCTCACGGACAAAACAATGATAATGACTATATCCGCGAACTAGGATTTTGAATAGAGACGACATTTCTAGAATTTACTTGCAGTAGACAACGACTCAAGTTGACAAACGTCGCATCCAAGGCCACTTCTAACATTGGATGTGATAAGAAATACTCCGTATATATTATCATTGTGAAATTACATTTTGAACCTTTAACATAAGACTAACGAGACAAAAAGTTAAAAAAGACTATCCGTAGAAAGATACTATAAAAAACAAACACGAGCATAATATTTAGTACTCCATAATAAAAGTCATAACTCATTAGATCGACTCAAACTCAATGACACGAGTTCATGAACATGTAATTCTTAATTTGAACCCGAACTTGAGCTGACCGATCAATTTAACAACTCTAACAGAAAACCACGTGTTATCAAAATTCAATAATAGTATTAAGAGTAAATTCCATAAAAGGTCCCCAATTATAGGTCGTTTTACATATTTAGTCCCTACATATCAAATATTACTAATTTGGTCCCCAATTATTATATTTATTTCTACGAATGGTCCTTTGTTAACATTTTCATTAAAACGTGGATAAAATTATAAATTCACACTCCTTTCTCTCCTCAATTAAGCTTTCTCCTCCCTTGTACTCCTTTCTCAAACCTGTCGCTGAGTTTCTAGCTTTGAACCCTAAACCAAAATCATCACTCTTCTCTCAATTGTTTGTCTAACTGGAGGAACGATCATTTAAATTTTGGGTTTAAGAGCTTCAAACTCAGCGATGAGTTTGGGAAAGAGTATGAGAAGATGAAGAAAGCTTAATTGAGGAGAAAGAGAAGTATGAATATACAATTTTATCCACGTTCTTAACGGAAATGTTAACAAAGGACTATTCGTGGAAATAAATATAATAATTGGGGACTAAATTAGTAATATTTGATATGTAGGGACTAAATATGTAAAACGACCTATAACTGGGGACCTTTTATATAATTTACTCAGAGTAAATTCCATAAAAGGTCTCCAGTTATAGGTCGTTTTACATATTTAGTCCCTACATATCAAATTTTACTAATTTAGTCCCCAATTATTATATTTATTTCCACGAATGGTCCTTTGTTAACATTTCCGTTAAGAACGTGGATAAAATTGTAAATTCACACTCCTTTCTCTTCTTAGTTAAGCTTCCTCCCTCCCCTCGCACTCCTTTCCCAAACCTGTCGCTGAGTTTGAAGCTTTGAACTCAAAACCGAAATCATCACTCGTCTCTCAATTGTTTGTCTAACTCGTAGAACCCAAATTCGAAACTAGTAATCTTCATGGATGAGTTTTAATGTTTATTTTCTTTGCAATTTCAAGAGACTAACCGATAAAACTCATCCATAAAGCTTATTGGTTTTGATTTTAGGTTCTACCATGAAGACTAATAATTGAGAGATGAATGATCATTTCAGTTTTGGATTTAGAGCCTTAAACTCAGCGACGAGTTTGGGAAAGAGTACGAGAGTAGGGAGGAAGCTTAATTGAGGAGAGAGAGAAGTATGAATATACAATTTTATCCATGTTCTAAACAAAAACGTTAACAAATGACCATTCGTGAAAAATGATATAATAATTGGGGACTAAATTAGTAATATTTTATATGTAGGGACTAAATATGTAAAATAACCTATAACTAAGGACCTTTTATGGAATTTACTCTATTAATAATTTATATGTTAAGACAAATCAAACAAGATCACACATGACTATATTTAGGCTTACACAATGAGAGAATTTGATAAGTCAAAGTGCTTAGATGAACAGTTGCAAAAGTCAAAAGTGGACGAATATAGCGGAACGGAGATAGTACTAGTTTTTTAAAAGAACGGGTAAAATTAGAATTATTCTAGATAATTTTTCTAAAAAATAAAAGGAAGTAGCACAATAATGCGTTGTATAGTGTGTAAAATGTTAAAACTCGCCACTTCATATATTTTTATTTTATTCCTTAGTCGTTTCATGTTAATTCCTATTGATTACTTTTTTCATTAATTTTGTATGATTTTAGTTATTTTTCTCATTTTTCGTAATTTTTATATCTATTTTTATTTTTATCCAAAGTTAGACTAATATTTTAAAAAATAGAAATAATGGAGGTAGACTATAATTTTAAATTTTTAAATTAAAGTTTCAAAAAACAAAAACTCATCGAAAATAATTCTAACTTTTATTTTATTGTACAAAACAAGCTGTTTCCGTTAACAAGCTGTTTCCGTTAACTTGCTTTACAAATTTCAGTAAAATTAGGATTATTATATATCATAGAGCTTGACTTTTTATGAATCTATGTTGCATATCATTTAAATTACAAATGTAAATAATCTATGTTTACTAAATTTCTACAAAGATGTGATTCTTTATCCCCCCCTCCCCAATTAATTTAAAAAAATAAATACAAAAAACATCAGTGATCTTATAATTTTTCTCCTCTGTCTTAATTTAAAAAAATAAATCAGATTACAGATCCTATGATTATAAGATTTAAAAATATGATTCTTCTCCTTGACATAAATCAAAATTAGTGAACAAATATGATTCTTTCCTCCTCCTCCCACCCCCC